TCCCAACTCTCGTCACTGTGTCCAACACCACTGTTCGCTCACGCTTCAACTCTGGATCACCCTGGATACCCCACGCACACACTCTGTAACACACACGCATACACACCTATCAGGCTCTCACTAACTACGGCAGCTATGGCCGCCAACTAACATTACCTACAAGCAGCTATGGCTGCGCTAACTCTCCTTCAGCCCACTTCGACTTTCAGGCGCATCTGCAGACCACCTCGCACAAGTCACTGTGGCAGTGCTTCCGCATGGCTTCCGCAGGAATGAATGAATATCTGGGCGCTGCCTCTTGATTTATACTTCTGTAGCTCATTGGTCTGGCCCTTTCCCATGCCCTGGGTACACACAGTCCCACACGGTACTTGCTTGACTGGACTAGGACTGACCGGGGCAGGGACTGCTGACTCAGCACGGGTAGACTCCACCACTTGCCCACTTGCCTAGGTCTAAACGTGAGCAACTTCGAAAGGCCACCACTAGGACCTTCCAGAAGTCTGGTCCTGGCCTTTCGAAGACTAACATTACCTACAAGCAGCTATGGCTTCGCTAACTCTCCTTCAGCCCACTTCGACTTTCAGGCGCATCTGCAGACCACCTCGCACAAGTCACTGTGGCAGTGATTCCGCATGGCTTCCGCAGGAATTAATGAATAGCTGGGCGCTGCCTCTTGATTTATACGTTTGTAGCTCGTCGGTCTGGCCCTTTCCCATGCCCTGGGTACACACAGTCCCACACGGTACTTGCTTGACTGAACTAGGACTGACGGGGGCAGTGACTGCTGACTCAGCACGGGTAGACTCCACCACTTGCCCACTTGCCTAGGTCTAAACGTGAGCAACTTCTAAAGGCCACCACTAGGACCTTCCAGAAGTCTGTTCCTGGCCTTTCGAAGACTGTAGCAGCTACGACCTTGACCTCTCAGGACTGTAGCAGCTACGACCTTGACCCTTCAGGAGTCCTACAGCTACGACTTCTAGAACTCCCTAAGACCTCTACCCGACAAATCTACAAATCGAACCCTTACACCTACAAACCCTACGACAACTTCCTAACTGCTGCGAACACACACAGGTCACGGGTTCAACTCTCAAAATCAACACAGATAAGTGAGAGCTAGGGATTGAGCCATGGGATCTGCATTCGCTACTGCTAACAGGTGAAAACCGTTCCACACACATATCACATCACTTCTATTACTGACATCGTTTGTTCCGTTCCTAGTAAAGGCTTCTTTTTCGCAGGCCATGCAAGGCTGGCAAAACAGTGAGCATAATCATATCCAAAAAATCGCATCATTGTGGGACTGGAAGAGGAAGTGCGAGGAATGAGCCTCACAGAGCCCTTATCAGACATACAAGTGTTCTGGGCTGTGGGGCCCCTTGCAAGCCACGTGGCCGCCTTAAGTGAAGGCGGGCCTGAATATCCACGTGAGGCCTGTTCTCGACCTTTTTTCCATATGTGGGTTCTCAGCCAGTTGCAGCACGCCAGTTGGTTACAGCACAACATGAGCCTCCAGGCTCTTTCCAAAAACAAAGGGGCTGCGCTGTACAGTTGAGCCCAGGGCTGACGCAGTTGCACCCTGGGCACACACTGTGTGAGGCCGACACATCACAGACTGGTTATGGGCCAATGAGGAAGCAGCATTGTCGTCACACAGGTGCCACAAGCCAATGAGAATACTGGGGCCCCACACGCCTGGCCAGGACAGCCAGCGGCGTCACACTTTCCATAAAGGAAAGTGTGGACCCCTCGCAGTGGCATTCGGGCGTACACAGGCAATGCGGACACGCTGCTGCATTGCTACGCTAGTGTACACGTCGGTGCTGCTGGTCGGAGGCGTGCACGGGCAGAGTGGTGAGAGGGGCGCTGCTGAGGCAGCGGGCGCACAGCAGCCATAGACGGGCAGCTGGGGGGCAGGGCTGGTGATGGCGAAGGTGGTCTTCAAGTAGGAGGCGCATGCTGTGGGAAGACGAGGGGTGATGACGGGAGGAGAGAGAACTTACCTGGTGTATGCTGGTGGTCGGCATTGGTGTTGACGTCACGTACTTTGGCCTTCGACTTCAGAGTGATCCAGTTGCCAGAACGTAGATAGGCTAGATAGGCTGAGCGAGATAGGCTGGACGATGGGCACCAGACAGTAAGTGCGACATTGGATACTTTGTTGGTGTGACCAGAGAGTGGCGACATTGACATTTGAGTCCATTGTATTGCTCTTATTTGGACGGTATCTTGGTGCATTGCACTCTCTGCTTGGTCATGACTATCAGAGCTTCTTCGTGATTTTGCAACTTGGATTTCTGTCTATCGTTCTCGCTCATATTCCTTGCAGAAGGAACAACTCTGCCTAAAACTACCAGTCCCTTTCCATGGTACCTTGTTCCGACGTGCTGGTTAAACCACCAGTATCTTACTAAGCACTCCTCCGAACCATTTTTTTTGGAGCTGCCGAACCTCTTTGTTTCGGGAGGATCCAGCTGGAGTAAAGCAGTGCTACAGCGGGCGACCGGTACTTATTTGGACAGTATCTTGGTGCATTGCACTCTCTGCTTGGTTCATGACTATCGGAGCTTCTTCGTGATTTTGCAACTTGGATTCCTGTCTATCGCTCTCGCTCATTCTCCTTGCAGAAGGAACAACTCTGCCTAAAACTACCAGTCCCTTTCCATGGTACCTTGTTCCGACATGCTGGTTAAACCAGTACCTTACGAAAAAAAAACTTGGAGCTACCGAACCTCTTTGTTTCGGGAGGAGGCAACCGGAGTAAAGCAGTGCTACAGCGGGCGGCCAGTACTTCTACTTAGACTCCCCACCCCCCCTCCCTTCTCCTTTTCCTTTCTTGTTTTTCTCTCTTTCCCCCCGGTGTTTTATGCCTGAATGAGGGGCAGTCCAGAGACCGCGTAGCAGAGGAAAGGGGGGGGAAAAAAAACCAAGATTTGGCCGTGATAGCCGTCAGATACATTCCAGAAAGTACTAGTGTGAGTATGCCCTCAGTGAGGGCCATTCCTGAGAATGTGGACTTGGCTCTGCCTTGCTGGCAGGGTTCTAACAGGAAGGGGGGAAGAAAGAAAAGAAAACAATGATTTGGCCGTGAAAGCGGTCGAATACATTGTGGACGGCCCTAGTAAGAGTATGCCCTCGGTCAGGCCTTCCCCGACATCTCTTTGGAGCATACATGCGGCGCATCACGAGCGCGCAAGTTGCGCACGTGCACCGCACAGCGCATGCATACACGTGTGCGCACACGTGATGCGGCGCGTTTACAAAATAATTTTAAAAACCATTCAGAAAGGGTAGGCCGTGGTACCCATAAGTGTCCCTCCCTTTAAAAAATTGTAAGTTCACAGAAAGAGTATATTTTGGGGCCTCGTAGTACTACTCATTGGTAGTATTCTCCTTTTCCAAAGGGTCCCCTGCTGAAAATCAGGACGGATCCCATTCATTTGCAAGGGCGTTCATTGCACTAGTGGAAGACAACGAGCAGGCCAGCAATATATTCTTGATTCGGATTCAGGTCTGTGTTCGAAGAGTTATGGGTTACGAACTTACTACGAAGTAGAACAGCACACAGTAGCTGTCTCGTTTGTTTGTTTTTCCTTTTCTTACGTGCAGTGGCCCTAAGGGCCTCGCTCCACTCATCAGCACTTGCAGAAAAGAAAAACGTATGGCTTGTATGATTCCAGTTTCCAGGAGAAGATTCATTCTAGTTTTAAGCCTAGGTGAGTAGTGGAGTGAAGCCCTGAAAATCACAAGCCGAGTTAGTAAGTCAGTAACCCGTAACTGCTGAAACACGGACCTGAACTCGAAGCTACACCATATATAGCTGGCCTGCTCCCTCCTTACTACAAGTCCAGTGACGACCCATCCAGTGAACACCCTTCTCCTGCCGACGGGACCCTTGCCAATTTTTGGCAGGGACCTTTTGAAGCACCAGCAGGGGTTGTCTGCATAATGTGAAAGGGCTCTGCTCTCTCTCTCTCTCTCAGCATGAAAGCCTGAAAATAAGGGCCTACAGGCCCTGTGTCGTTTCAGCCTGAAAGCCTGAAAATAAGGGCCTACAGGCCCTCTGTCGTTTCAGCCTGAAAAAAGGGCCCTCCAGGCCCTAAGTCTTTTCAGCCTGAAATGGAGGGCCATTTTCAGGCCCTCATAAGATCGACCTGCCCTGAAACTTAGGCACCCGAGCAGGGTTTTAGCACAGGCCATTTTGGGCCTGTTTTCAATACAACCTTTGTAGAACTTCAACACCAGGGTCTGGCATGCTTTGGCATTGGCAAGAGCAGCCTCCTGGACGGGCCAACACTATATAAGATTGGCCCGCCCTGCAGGCTACAGGTAGTTCATAGGGGACTTCCCAGGCACTTCACGTGCAGTTCAGGAGGGAGGMRGTAGTCTTCAGGATTCGGCAGCAGCACTCTGGAGGAGCGCTGCAGTAGTAGTAGTAGCGTTAGCAGTAGTCTTCAGCGCTGGGCGCTAGTAGGAGCTAGAGTAGTACTGGAGAGAGAGAGAGAGAGAGAGAGAGAGAGAGAGAGAGAGAGAGAGAGAGAGAGAGAGAGACATTTGGCGGAGGCCAGGAAGACTTACCTGCAGCGCCATAGCTCCAGCTTCGTCTTCGAGGTACCTGCAGCACGACGCCATCTTCAGAGGTTAGTACCTGGTACATGACAGAGAGAGAGAGAGGGAGAGAGTTCTTCTTCCTCCTCCTCTCAGTCCATCTTCCTCACCCTCTCATTATCTAACTTCTCGGCCTCAGCAGACTACAAGCGAGAGAGATATTGGTGACTTTGAGGATGTTGACGACATTGGGATACACACTCGACTTTGGAATAGAGACATTGGGATCGGTGTGACGACATTCCCATGTTCTCCCTCATCTTCGTCTGATCCCCCTCCTCTTCGTCTGTGGCTGTTTGGGGCTGGTGCATTCTTCTCTGCAGGCCCCTTCACAACTTGTAACGATGTATTGATTGGGCTGATCATTGGCATCCTAGCATTCCGCTGTGCTATCTCGTACTATGTAAGGTCGGTCCTTGTTCTGGTTTGCACCATTACGGTATGCAACAGTTTGGTATCTCCTCCTCCTCTCACATGTGTGAAGTATGATGGGATGTCCTGTCAGTCCCGGTCAGGTCAGGACTTATATCCAAGTCTTCCACTGCGCTACAAAGTGCCATTTTTTGTATGTATTAGGATGTGCACTGCTTGTTGAGATTCTACTTGCACTGCATTGTCCATTCAGTCCTTTTCATCACCTTGTGGATCCTTGGCTGTACGTACATTGCCCAACTGGGCATGTATCAGTTGGTATCGGGACACCACACGTGAATCAGGACAACCTGATCTGACATCTGGACCTAACTACCAAAATCAAAATTTTTTCTTTTACTGAAAATTCCAATTTTCGTTGTTCTTCTCGTTCAAGGGAGATTGGGCGACCCGGGCCCGGGCAGTCCGTCCCTCCCGCACGGGGTACCCAGGGCGAGTGATTTTCGGCCCTTTTTTTTTTTTTTTTTGAACTTCAGTTGGGCATTTATGCGCCCACCGAGTACTGTTCAAATCCGCATCAATTTTTTTTTTTCGTGGTGTGGCAAAGAAGGGGTTGGCTTATTTTGGTGCAGCCCCACGACTCCTCTCTTTTCCCTTAATTTTTTTCCCTGCCAATCAGTCTGGCCAACCACAAAGGAGGGTTTGGTGGATTTGGGGGGTGCTCGTGGGGGCTTGTAGGCTGTACTCCTATGGGTGTAGTCGGAGGACCCCCCACTTATCTTCATTTTTTATTTTGTCTATCAGTGGGGCGGCCGACAAAGAAGTGGTTGCTGGGTTTGGGGTGCATTCATGCAGGTGTGCCTTGATGGGATGTCCTCGGTGTCTTTAGTGGATAATTTTTTTATTTTTTTTTTCCGTGGCCGCAGTCGATGAGACCAGTTCACGGTTGTGGTGTCAGCCTGCACGGACATTGGACACCGTTATGAGCTAGAAAATGCCAACAATGATTGCGAACCACTTCCCTGTACGGTTTCAGGCTTTCAGCAAGTGGTGCCTGAAAACCGTCACTCTGCATGCAACCACCACTGTTTACACAAAGTTGGAAAGCCAATACTTATGTGTCAAGTTTGCACATTCAGTTTCTGAAACCAAAACCTGTGATTTCTGCTCCAAGTTGTCACTAGAAGCAATCGTATGGAAGATTCAAGGAGAACAAAAGTTGACTAAAATGTTGAACAGGCCTCGGTCCTGACTTCCATGACAGACATCTGACAATGTCAACTACAGTACTTTAACTTCTGAAATTGAGCGACACATAGGGGCAGAAATCAAGGTACGAGCTTGGCATCCACAAGCGTGCAAGTCATTTGCATAGGTTCTCGAGGACATGGAAGGAGACAAAGATCATACAACAAAACGAAGGAGGAGGAGAACAAGTAGATGATGAAGAACAAGAAAAAAGGAGAGGAAAGACGGACAAGATGAAACACAACAGCTAGTCTAAGAGGCGCTGGTAGTCTAGACTTTCGTCTAGCTCCATTCCGGATCCGACTCGTCGTTCCCCTCCCTGTCGCTGCTGTCCTCTGGTGCAGTCGGATCGTCCTTGAGGACCCGACTATGCCGCTTCTTTGTCATGTTCGCCCGGGCTGTGCGCCTTGGACGTGTTGATGGTGGAGGTGGTGCGGCGAGGACAGATTTTGCAGCGTTTGCAGCAGTTGTCCTTGGTCGTCCCCTCCCACCCTTCACCAGTGGCTCAACAGCAGGTTCAATGTCAGTCTTCCGCTTCCTCCTGGCCCTGCTGATCTCCAGGTTGTCATGGACGAGACTCTCGTCCAAGTGGGGGGCAACGGAGGGGGACAACTCGCGGAGTGGAGGATGAGCGGTTGCTGCAGGATGTCTTCCGGCTGCTGCCGTGGGGGCTGTTGTTTCTGGTTTTGCTGATTCTGCTGCCCCTTGTCTTCCAGCTGGTGCTTCTGCTGATCCTCTTTGTGGTGCTCCTGCTGCTGCATGTCATGCTGCTACTGGCCCCGGCCGTCTTCCTGCTGTTGCTCCAGGTTGCATTCCCTCTGCTGCTGCTGCTCCTCGTCGTCCTGCTGCTGTGGCTCCAAGCGATGCTGCTCCGTTTTTCACTGATTGTCCTCTTGCTGCTGTTGCCGCTGCTGCTCTTCAAGTTGCTGCTTCTCCTGCTGCTGCTGCTCCTCCTCTTGCTGTTTTTGCTCCTGTTGCTGGTGTTCTTCGTGCTGCTCCTTGTGCCGCTGCTGGTCTTTGTGCTGCTGCTGCTGCTGCCGCCCTTGTTGTTGCTGCTCCTTCTGCTGCTGCTTCTCCTTTGGGCCCACGACCTGATCTGCTGGTGGAGGCATGCTAAGCCCCGAAAGGGACCCCGGACGTGGCACTGCCAAGCGCTTTGCATTGTCCTCCTCGATGCGTTTCTGCACTTCTGCCCAGTCTCTTCGCGCAAGGGCCTTTGCCGCAGCCCTTTCCCGGTCATCATGTGAGGCTCCCTCGACTTCCCAAGTCCACGATGTCAGTGCTTGGAGGACAGGGAGGACAGTTATGAACACCACGTGCCCTGTCGTGCTCGTCCTCCTCACCGAGCCCGCAACTGTAGAACGCATAGTCTGGGTCATCATCATCATCAACATCCCCATACGCCTCCTCATCCACCTCATCCACCTCATCGTCTTTCTTCTCCTTGCCCTTCACACTTCGTGGCAGCTGTTCCTTCCTCTTCCCATGATCTCCTCTTCGCTCGATGAGTCCGATTCGTCCGAAGACGTACCAATGGCAACCCTTCCCTTGGGGGTCTTCCTCAAGCTTGCCTGTCGCAACACCTCCTCCTCATCCACCTCCAAGGGTCGTGGAAGAACAGCAGGATCATTGGCGGGCGAAGCCTCCGGGTCATCAAAGAAACATGCACAGACATCAACGAAGCCGCCCTTCATGCTCTTTGGGATAGACTGGAGCTGCATGTTCCAGTGTATGTATACAAGCTTCGCTAGGCTCTCAGATGAGAGATTGTTCCTCCTCTTCGTATGGATGAGGTCGAGGGAGGACCAATTCTCGCTCGGATGGTGTCGTCGTGCTCCACAGCGCAGTGAGACGAGTAGCAATCTTCTGCAGATCCTTATGTTTCCCACCATATGAAGCCCACCATTGAGATGCTGTCTTACGATCAAGACAGTTGTCTGCAACGCAAAGTCATCCCACATGGGCTCCTTTGCACGCTCCTCCTTCGTCGGAGGCTCGCAATGAAACGCCCACAAGCTTTGCCATACATTAACGTGGGACTGCTCCGACCCCCACCTCTCCCCTCCGAGTTGCGTCATGAAGTACTTGATGGCATTCTGCACCAGAAGACCGTCCTTGTCCAACACCCAACGAGGGTCCCTCCTGTTCGGCGCCAGCAAGAAGTTAGCAGCATGTGCAGGCTGTCTCATCATCTTGCATCGATCATGAACAATCGCCATAACGTCCTGCCGCTGCTCCTCCGTAAGGCCGAAGATCGTGCGCAACCGCTTCTCCAAAAGCTCCCCAAACCCCCACAATTGTGAGGGTGCAACGCTGTCGCGGTCCATCCTCCGCAGCAACTCGTTCATAGGCCGCATGACGCTGACTATTCGCTGCACCTCGATCCACCATTCGTCGGAACGGACCGTGAGGAATATCAGTTCCGCCTTTCGACGGAGCTTCCTTGTGCTCCAATGGATGTTCCAACCCCTCTCCATCATCTCCTTCAACACCCAATCCCTGTCACACAACCTCTCAAGCATTTGATATGTTGAGGCGAACCTCACTTCTGTGGGCATGATGAGGGTCTTCGTTTCCTCCAATGAACAGGCTGAGAACAAAGCCACTGTGCGATGGTGGTTCTTGATGAACTTCACCATCATCTTCGCCCTCTTCACAATCTTAGCAACCCATGGGAGCTTTGCGATACCCTTCAGCAGCAAACTCAAAGGTGTGTGCAGCGCAGGGGACCCAGGGAATCCTCGCAATGTTCGGATCCTTGCGAAGAGATAGGATCCTCGCTGCCCGTTTGTTCACTTGTGCATTGTCCGTGCAGATGGCATTCACCCTATGGACCCCGATCTCCCGGATTACCTCCTCCCATAACTTGGCAATGGCAGCCGCATTCGTCTTCCTATGGCTCATGTCAACCACCTTGATCAGCACTGCCCCTCCTTCCCCAGCGCCTATGAAATTGATGACGGTCTCCACCTTCGATCAGTAGTGTCGTCCGTGATGAGTGTGCAGCCTGAAATGTCCCACTTGTCCATCACGGGTCGCACTTCCTGCTTCACCTGGTCATACACAAGATCCAATATGGCAGTGCGGATGTCTCGTACATCGGCATGTCCACCTTCGCCTTGGTGGCCCCCAATTCCATGTTCAGGTTATGGAGGGCGCGCGTCTCATCTTGTCTGAGGAAATTGAAAGGGACCCCGGACCTGAACAGGGCCCTCCCCCATTGGGTGTCCACCTTCGATCAGTAGTGCCGTCCGTGATGAGTGTGCAGCCTGAAATGTCCCGTCCATCACGGGTCGCACTTCCTGCTTCACCTGGTCATACACAAGATCCAATATGGCAGTGCGGACTCTCTCGTACATCGGCATGTCCACCTTCGCCTTGGTGGCCCCCAATTCCATGTACAGGTTATGGAGGGCGCGCGTCTCATCTTGTCTGACGAAATTGAAAGGGACCCCGGACCTGAACAGTGCCCTCCCCCATTGGGTGTCCAACCTCTTCTCGGCTGTGTTCTCGGCCCACTTCCGGATCGAGGTTTGTGTGGCTCTCGTGGACTTTGACCCGAATGTGGATGCTTGGAAGGACGGCCCCGCTGTTGGAGGGACTGTTTTGTCTTGTGTGTCCTCCACAGAGGTTCCTCCCGCTGCTTGCCCTTCAACGCGCACTTCTCTCCCGGGCGCAAGCGGCGGCGTGAGAAGCTCTTCCATCTCATCGGATTTGCCTGTCACCAACGCAGCAGCCGGCTCCATCCCTGTATCCTCCGCAATCCCTTTCTGTGCACGATACTGATGGAGCATCTTCTTTGTAGCCTCCCCCTCAATCTTCCCTCCCCTTAGTGCCAGCAGATATAGAATCTCCCCATTCCTGTATGGACAGGTCTTCCCCTTCCGCAGGAAGTGTTCCATCGCTCGGGTAGAGGACGCAGTGAACTGCTGGTGGCAGAGCTTGCAGCGGACCCAATACTGGCCGTACCCCTTTGGCTACGCTGCCTGCCCCCACACTATCCACCTATACACGACGTTCTCCTTCTGCAATGCCTGCTGCTTTTCATCTGGTTGGGCCTCAGAGTGGCTTATCTTTGGGTGCACCTGCCTTGACTTTGTCCTTGCCTACACTGCTGCTGCTCTCGCCTAGTGCCACCATGATGAACCGAGATGATAGACGTAGAAGAAGAAGAACGAAGAAGAAGATAGAGAAAGAAGAAGGAGAGAGGGAGTGCAGGTCAAGAAACAAGGAAGAATAAGAAAAAGGAGGACTGCGGTACTAAGAAACGGTACGACTGTTGGGGGCACAACAGACCAGATGCCTCCAGCTGGAAGATGGTGCTGCAAGTGCGGATCACAAAGCAGAAAGCACACGGTATTAGAACAGATCCCACCGCTCCGTTGCCACAGCGGGAAGAAAAAAAAGGGCACGTCATAGACATACTTCAAGAAGAAACCATTCGAGGTTTGCCACACTCTAATCAGATCAGATCAGATCAGATGATTCAGATCTGATGTAATCTGATGCGATCACACCAGATCAGATCTGATGAGATTTGATCAAATGTCATCAGATCAGACCAGAGCAGACAGGACCAGATCAGATCAGATCTCATCAGATTTGAAAACATCACATGAGATGCATGGACATCTCATGTGGTCAGATCGGAGCTAAACCGATCAGATCAGATCTGATTTGATCTGTTGTGATGTGAACAGATCTTAGCAGATCATAGCACATCTGATAAATCAGATCTGATTTGATCTGATCTGATGTGATCATATGAGATCTGATCACATCACATTACATCCACATCTGATCTGATCTGATCTGATCTGATGTGATCGGATCTGATCATATGACATGGAGGAGGATGATACAGAGGACAAGGAAAAGAAGTTAACAACAGATCTGATCTGATCACATCTGATAAATTCTGATCATCTGTTCTGATCACATCAGATCAGATCGGATCACATGGACGGCGAGGTTAAGGAGGAGGTGGAGATAAAGTTCACAACAGAACCGATCTCATCAGATCGGATCTGTTGCGAACCTCTTCTCCACCTCCTCCCTAAAGTCCTCCTCCATGTGATCTGATCTGATCTGATCAGAACAGATCAGATCTGATCTGGGATGACACGATCTGATTAGATCTGATCACGTCAAATCAGATCAGATCTGTTCAGATGAGATGTCAAAGGATGTAATGTGATCAGATCAGATCAGATCAGATCACATGGAGGAGGACATCAACGAGGAGTGGAGAAGAAGTTCGCAACAGATCCAATCTGATCGGATTAAAAATCTGATGTGATCGGATCTGTTGCGAACTTCCTCTCTACCTCCTTCTTGATGTCCTCCTCCATGTGATCTGATCTGATCTGATCCGATCTGATCTGATCAGAACAGATCAGATCTGGGATGACACGATCTGATCAGATCTGATCATGTCAGATCAGAACAGACCAGAACAGATCAGAACCGATCAGATCTTGATCGGATCTGATCATGTCAGATCAGAACAGACCAGATCAGAAC